GGGGTGGTAGGGGCAGCAGCCTCCTGCCGGGGTAGCCAGGATCCTATTTTTTGTGTGTCTGTCCCCGGGCGAGACCTGCCTGCACCAATGCCCTCCTTGGAGATGCAGCTGGGGGAGAGGAGTCGGAGACCCCTTCGCCCGGCGGTCAGCAAACAGGGGCTTGATTGGCACCTGCAGTTCTTTCGGTGCGTACCGGTGACTCTGAGTAAACCTGAACACCTTTTAAGGACACGATTCCAATCACAGTGATTAGATCTGTGCAAAGGACACACAGGGCTCTGGAATCACTTCAGTTGCTGTAAGGGGCGGGGCAGGCTCCTCTGTCTCATAGGTCACTGGCCGTGGCCTTGACGATCTCCACCAGAAGCCAACGGCTCACCCCCAAGACACGTTACAGGTGGAGAACCAAGTCCCAGAGCAGGTCCGTGGCAGAGCTGGGGTTTGAATCCACGGCTGTGAGACTGCAAGCCCCAGGCCTCCCAGCGCTGCTGGGGAGGGGGCTTCCCAAGAACCAGGATAGGGTTCTGGCCGTAGCATGGGGCAGTGGGCCCTGGGGGTCAGACTGACCCAGCACCTCAGGCTCACAAACTTGTGGGGCCAGGCTAACAAGATGGACCCAGGAGACAGGAGAGTTCAAGGTGCTAGGGAAGGGTGCAGGGTGTGTATAAAGTGATTAGAACTCAGCATAAAACAAAGGCCCCATTTGGCCAGGCAAAACCTGTCTGTGGGCCGTGTCGGGTCTACAGCCATGAGCTTTGGCTACCCATAAGCACCAGGTCTCCCGGATTGCTGCAGACGTGGAGGACTGGGAGAGACTCTGGACCACGGAGGCTTTCCAGGCCGCCAAGGGGCTGAGTCCACAGGGGCCCCGGTGTGGGAACCCCAGGATAGGGCCTTGGCCCTGGCAGAACCTTCTGGTGACGTGCGAAGAAGCCCTGGGGGCGTGCGGGTGGCCCCAGCCTGCCTTACCTTTGACCAGCGTGTGCTTGTCGGTGGGAGAGGATCGGGCCAGCACCCGCAGCTTGGGCCAGATCTTGTCGATTCGCTCTTGCTCAATCTGGAGAGGGATTTGGGGGGAGGGGGGTGGTTGGGGAGCGGCCAGAGGAGGGAGGGGACTTGCCCAGCCTCTCTGAGCCCTTTCCCGTCTGCAGCACACTGGCTGGCTTCCGAGCAGCCCCCAGCGCCCAGCCCCCATGCCAGCACCCCCCTCTGAGCACCTACCTCCCCCTTCTCGTTCCGGATCCTCCGGTTGAACTCCTTGCCCTCCAGGCACAGAAAGTCCTCCCCAGGGTGGATGATGCCACACTTGATGGCGATCGCCCTGGCCGTGTTGATATTGTCACCGGTCACCATGCGGACCGTGATGCCAGCCCGCTGGCACTTGCGGATGGCTTCCGGGACCTGGTCAAGAGGGCAGGCGCTAAGCAGGGAAAGCACTTCTCTGTAAGGACCCAGACGGCCACTACACGGCCGCCCCCTCCCTTCTCATGCCTGCGGCAGGCATTATTGATCAGTAGCCAGTTGAACCCTGCTATGGTCGGTCTCAGAGTCCTGTGGCACAGTGCCCGACAGCCACCTGCCATCAACCGTCAGCCTGGCCAGGGATGAGACCAACGGAACTCCTGACTTGGACCAGGGCTTTAAGAAGGGCTCCATGCAGAGCCCCTTGTGCCCTGGCCTCAGGCAAGTCCAGTGGCCTCCCTGGTGCACGTGAACTGTGGACTTGACCCGGCTGCATTCACACCCAGTTTCTGTCAACCGGGCGACGGGTGCCCCGGGCTGAATTCTCAGGTTTTGGAAGCGACGTTGATGGGGCGTTGTGTGTCAGAAGGTGATACAGACTTGGGATCCATGCACACGGTGATGCTCAGGTAAAATATAAAGAGGAAGGGCTTTGGCCTGTTCTCCTGGCTGGAGTGACAGATGTCTGAGCCGATCAGGTCAGGGCAGAGCCAGCTCCTTGGAAGCCATCAAGGCCCTCCCCAACCCCTCCAGGATTTGCCCCTCTAGAGCTGTGGGTCAGGCCGGCAGTGAACCATTGTCAAATCAAGTCTACTCTGACCCAGGCTGGCCCCGCGGGTCAGGAAGAACTGTGTCCCTGCAGAGGTTTCCAGTGACCGGCTTCCCAAAAGTAGATCTTCAGGCCTTTCCTCAGAGGGGCCTTGGTGGGTCGGCGTAAACCTCCACCCTCATCTCCAGTGGGGTTTCCTTGCCAGCCCTCTCCCTGCTCCCCCGCCCTCACCCCTCCACTACCTTCTTCCTTGTCAGGAGTCACTATCCCCTAGGGCTCCCCCTGCCGGGATGTGGCCACCCATCCTCCAATGAGGTCGGAGGGACAGGCTGCAGGGCCAGGTCAGGGGGCCGGTCCAGCTGGTCTGTCCGGAGGAAGAGGAGGCTCCTGTAAAGACTTAGGGTCCAGGAGCCCCCGCCGAGAGCTGCTGTGAGTGGGATTTGGCTTGGGCTGAGGGTTTGTCTTCAAGGCAGGCCCTGCGGCCACGGGGGAGCAACCTGCCAACATGGAACGGGCCACCGGGCGCAAGATGTGCGGCCTCCAGCAGCCTGCACCCTGGGTTCTGCGAACGAGCCTTCCTGGACTCTGGCTCGGGGTTCAGGGGCCACGCGAGCAAGGCCTCATGCCATAGCCGAGCTCACAAACCAACTGTGGCCTCTTTTTACGGAGCCCGAGGGCGAGGGCACGGGCCTGTCCGAGATGCCCTCTGCACAGTTTATTGCCGACGTCCTCACACTCGGCGGTAACCGAACACGGCAGCCCCTGCGGTCACCTGCCCCAGAGGATGGGTAAGAGTCCTGCTCTTTGGGGATAGACACCTTGTCTAACTCTTACGCCTGACAGAGGGGTTTAGGTTAGGCTTGCCCTAGTGGCACTGTGGTGGAGCATTGAGCTGCTAACCTCAAGGTCAGCAGTTCGAAACCACCAGGGGCTCCCTGAGGGAAAGAGGAGGCTTCCTGCTCCTGTAAAGGGTTGCAGTCTCAGACTCTCACAGGAGCAGGTCTTCCCGGCCCCGCAGTCGCGATGAGTCGGAGTCAGGCCGATGGTAATGAGTTTGGTTTGGGGTTTTGCTTAAAGACACTCGGAGTTGGAACGGGCCATTGAACGTGCTGCTCCTCCCAGGCCCCCGAGTGCCTCTGCCGCCCACCCCAGATGGGGGACCAGCCTTCTGAGGATTACTTCATGCCAGGGGTGAGGGGGCCAGTCTAGTGACTTACTCTTTCACTCTGCTCTTTCTACAGAATGGAACGGCTACTCCGGGCAAGAGCTGCGTGCTTCTAACTCCCAAGGGTGGGGTGCAAACACAGGGCCTCCAGTACAGGTCTGACCCAGGCTGTGGGATGCACGGGTGGGGGTGAGAGGTCCGTGAGAACTTCCCAGAGGAAGTGATGTTGGGGCCAGGCCCTGGGCTGGGACGACAGAATGGAGAATTGTTCCAGGTGGCACCCAGGGTGGGGGTGGGGGTGTTGCTGCCAGGCCTGGCCATAGTGCTGAAGAGGAGCCGAGGCAGGAAGGTTCTGGAACCAGAGACCGGGGCTGTTCCTCCAGGCACTGGAGCAGAGCTGGGTTTTACAGGCTCCAGCCCCAAGGCTCTCTGAATGGCTTCTTTCTGCTTGCTTTCCCACTCCCGCCCCCTGCCCTTCCTCAGAAAGGAGGAGACTGTGTGTCCTGACACTTCCCTCCGGCTCCTGCAGAAGCTGCCTGGAGGCAGGAAGGAGGCCTTGCCTGGGGAGGGAGAGTCCCAGCACCCTAGTGGAGGGGGGTGGGGGGGGGCAGTCAGGTCCGAGTCAGGACCCTCAGCAACCGAGACGTCCTTGTCTGTAAACGGGCACGGGGTGGCCTTCTGAGACAAGGCACAGGGGCAAGAGTCACGGGGCTGCCGGGTCTGACAGGTGCTGGAGATGCTGGCCCTGTGGCCTGGTGGTCTTCCTGCTCTGAGAGGGGTGGGTGCAGCAGGTGGAGGGCTGGGGCGGGCGCTCTGCTGTCTTGCTCTGAGGGTCACTGCCTGGAGTGGGAGGGGGTGCTGGGAGAGCAGGCTTTCCCCCGGGGGCAGGGGCTGTGTGTGGAGGTACAGGGCTCGGAGGCGGGGATGGAGGGTCAGCATGGACATTTGGACCCCTGACACTTGGCTCCTGGTACGTGGTTTCATGCTGAGATGGGGTCCTGCAGGCCCACCACCTTTGGCTCAAAGCTCTCTCTACCACAGTGCCTTCGCCCACGCAGCTCCCTCTGTGTGGAATCCACCCCCCCTGCCCCAGTCCTGCTCCCTCTCACCCCTCTCCCACCCTACATGCTCTCTGTCCATTAAGCCCACAGTGGGGTGGCCCTGTGCCGTGCCAGCCCTTTCTGGCTCCCGTTCACCAGCAGACACCGCACGAGCTCTGGCCCGGAGGGGACGGAGATGAGTAAGACTCAGGCCCCACCCCACTAGCAGCCGAGAGTCATCTTTTCCCACAAATAAATACTTGTAAAAATTGGGGGGGGGGCGGAGGAGAGTGTCTTTTGCTAAAATTGTCCTAGATGTTTCTTTCCGAGGGAAAACAGCCAGGAAATGGGTGCTTCCTGTTTTCATTCAATACAAGCCACCAAACATCTGCTGTTTCTGGTGACGGCCGTTGTCTGTGACTAGCCCCCCCCCCACGCCCCCGCACTCCCATAACCCAGCCAAGACCCAGACCGATGCCCCCATGGCTGCGCACACCCAAAGGGACGAGGGCACTGAGGGGACCTCCCTTTTCTGTCCTGCGGGCTTCTGCAGGGAGAACGCATGGGGGGTGGGGTGGGGGTGGGGTTGTCGGTCTGTTTAAAGCCCGTGTTTGTTGGGGGCAATACGAGGCTGAACCGGTGTAAAGGACCTCCGAGGGAGTGTGGGCCTGAGGGCCCCTCCCTGACTGGGCCTCAGTTTCCCCGGAGAAGGTAACAGGCACCCCTGACACTCTCTGGAGACTGGGGGCTGAGCTGCCCTTGAGGGGGGAACTAGGGCACAAGGGTTCTGCGAGGGCTGGCTTAACCCACGGGCCACCGGCTCCTCAGGTAGAGTTTACACCCTGTAAATACATGACCGGAGGGCGGGCTGAGCCCAGAGGAAAGGCCACCCATAGGCACGCACTGACTGAAGACGACCAGAGGGGCATGAGGCTTAACCTTCCAGAGGTGCCAGAAGGGACAGGCCATCCTCCCATCTCACAGTTGGAGAAACTGAGGCACACGGGGGAAGCAGCTTGTTAGTAGTGTGGTCGTTACATCATCGGGTGCCACCGTCAAGAGTGAAGAGGTGGGGTCTAGCCTGTCACTCAGGTTGCTGCTTGATGACCTCATTTGGAGATGCTACGGAGATAAACAACTCACTGAACTTGGGACACACAGACTCTGCTTGGTATTCCTGACGACAAGACACGCAGAGCTGTGACAGAGCCCTGGAGCTGGAGGAGCCACGTGGAGACCCACACCAGCGCCGAGATGCTTCCACTGCCACTGGATCCACAAGACTTTGCACCCACTGGCCTGTGATCTTCCTGCATTCAGCATCATTGCATGTGTTTTGTGAGTCT